CCCCAAAACCCCAAAACCCCAAAACCCCGTGCATATCAATATCAGTAAGAATAGTTAAAATTTAAGTCCAGAAATTGATTGCTGATACTTTGATTAATAAATCCATTCGTTCTAATAAAACTCAAAATTAATTAATCTTAAAGATAATGTCAAAACAAAGAAAATCACCTATAAATTACAGGAAGACCTTTACTTTCAAAATGAATGAATAAGAGCATCTCTCTGAATATATCGAGCCTTTCACATTGCTTTTTAATAATTACTAATGAAATAACGATCTAGAAGAGTTTAATGACCCAAATGCTTAGGCTAGAATGTTAAAAAATCTAATGAAAAACAATCAAGCTTCAGAATAAGCAGCTCTTTCAAAGCATCATTAGGAGCTTTTCAAAATTGTTCATCTGAATAGAGCCAATGAAAATAAATAAAGGTATCGAATAAGTTCACCACTTAAGAGCATAAATTCTGTTGCCAGTTTCTCAAACTAAAAAGAGCTCAGAGAATAGATTAGCTATCCTGAATTTTAAGGTGCCAACTAAATTCCTTAAAATCAAATTAGAACTTCGCTAGATTAGAATGATTCACCTTACCCATGTCTTATTCCAAAAGCATAAAATAATAAAAAAAGAAGAGTTAAACATAAGCATTCTCAATCCATTGCAGAAGGAATTAAAAACTTCAGTTATTTAGAAATGAATGATTAATAGGATTTTTCAAATTTATCGAGTATGGTAAAGAAAAAACAAATAGCAGATTCCCCAGCTAGTAACGAAAGAGAAAAGCTAATCCTAACTTATTAAATAAGCAGTGACAAGGTTCGAAAAATCTACAAAAAGCATTATTTAAATTTTAAGAGCGAATTTTCACAGTTACCTAACTAACTAAATGATAGTAACGATTGCTAGTTGCCTTAAAATAATTCTACTTTGCAAAATTAGAAAATACATATCAGAAGGAGCTTAGACTAAACTACAATACTAAATAAGAAATAGAGTAATACTAATCGTCATACTAAGACTCAGGATATGATAAACAAGATATACATGCATAAGCTAACTTTGGAATTGAAAGAAAGCTATAAAAAATTATAAAATAACAGTAGCTCTAGAATTCAGGAAGATTAACTATTTTTTGGGAATAGATTTGATTCAAAATAAAATCCAGAGTAGGTTACTCGAATTGTACGTAGTAATTCTCGTTATAAACATAAGGTAATGCATCCTAAGAAAATATCCTAGGTTTTATTAGATAATACTATCACATTTACTGATAAGGAAAAGCTGATATTTGGGAACAGTTCTCGCAAAACAAGTTCAAGATTGAGAGAGCCACCAGCAATCGATTCAGGCAATGATAGTTCTTTAGTTTTCCTCAGTAAAACTGTAGTATCAAATCCAATCAACATTAACAATAGCAAAAATCTACATTCCTTACGAGAAAGATTAAACTTAAGTCAGGTGCTAAATCCTGATAAGTCTCAGAGCAAGTCTAGGATTTAACCTATTTTTGAAGTTGAAGATTTTTCGTTTGAAAAATAGAGTTAAAAAGAATCAACGAAATTTCCATTGTTAAATAATGCGAATGCTTGATTTAAAAACTATTTAAAATAAATATTATGAATGAGTGAATATGGTAAACTTAATTTTGTTAATAAATTTGACAATTAAGCAAATAATATAATATTAAAGAAAATGATGCAAAAGTTTTCTTGTGTCAAAAAGGGGTTGCTTACCTCCCCGAGTAAGTTCTATATCTCCTTATGATTTAGATTATTTTGCCATGATGCAGTTTAGCACAGGCAAAAGATCATATGGTAACTTGAAGGATCAAGACAGAATCTTCAGCAATCTCTACAAAGATGGAGACCCTGGCATTACCGGAGCCTTAAAAAGAGTATTATACTATGAATTAATTGAAATAGGGTGACTGGCACAGAACCAAGGATATCTTAACAATGGGTCAAGACTGGATTATTGATGAAATCAAGAAGTCTGGTCTCAGAGGTAGAGGCGGTGCTGGTTTCCCATCTGGACTCAAGTACTCTTTTATGCCTAAAGTTTCAGTCGATGGAAGGTAAGATCTCTTTCTAGATTAAGATTCATGTTAGACCATCCTACCTTGTTATCAATTCAGACGAGTCTGAGCCTGGTACTTGTAAAGATAGAGAAATCCTGAGACACGATCCACATAAATTAGTTGAGGGTGCTCTTGTAGTTGGATTCAGTATGAGGGCAAAGGCTGCATACATCTATGTAAGAGGAGAGTTCTGGGATGAGGCTAACCAACTATAAAAAGCAGTTAATGAAGCTTATCAAAAAGGTTTCTTAGGAAAGAACGCCTGTGGAAGTGGCTACGACTTCGATGTTTATGTTCACTCAGGAGCAGGTGCCTATATTTGTGGAGAAGAATCAGCCCTTATCGAATCACTCGAAGGCAAACCCGGTAGACCCAGACTAAAGCCTCCCTTTCCAGCTAATGCAGGTTTGTATGGTTGCCCAACTACTGTCACTAACGTCGAGACAGTAGCTGTATGTCCAACCATCATGAGAAGAGGAGCTTCATGGTTCTCAGGCTTTGGCAGAGAGAAAAATGCAGGAACTAAGCTTTTCTGCATTAGTGGTCATGTAAACAACCCTATTACTGTTGAAGAAGAGATGAGCATCCCTCTCAGAGAATTAATAGACAGACATGCTGGTGGAGTCATCGGAGGATGGGATAATCTAAAAGCTATTATTCCAGGTGGTTCATCTGTGCCAATGCTTACCAGGAAAATCTGCGGTGAAGTACTCATGGACTTCGATGATCTTAAGGACAGAAAGAGTGGTCTTGGAACAGCTGCAGTCATTGTCATGAACGAATAAACCGACGTTATTGATGCCATTCTAAGACTATCAAAGTTCTACAAGCATGAAAGCTGTGGACAGTGCACTCCATGCAGAGAAGGTACTGGTTGGATGGTAGATCTCTTAGAGAGAATAAAGGAGGGTAATGCTGACTTCGCTGAGATCGATATGCTTGAAGAGCTCTCATTCCAAATTGAAGGTCACACTATTTGTGCTCTTGGTGATGCTGCTGCTTGGCCAGTTCAAGGTCTTATCAGAAACTTTAGACATGAAATGGAAGATAGAATTGATAGTTATAAAGCTGAGCACCCAGAGATTGATACTAGAAAATTCCTCTCTTACGCCCCACCAAAGCATCATTGAGTTTACATGTCAATATGCATCAGCCTTGTTGTATGCATTAAATATATTTAAACATTAATGTCTCTAATTCAACCACTTCTTGATTATAAGGACCCTGGGGTTTTGGGGTTTTGGGGTTTTGGGGTTTTGGGG